AGTTGCGAGGATGTCTCAGGCGAGACGGGCCGGACCACCGCGCGCAGGGCATCTCAGAGCTCAGGAGTTCGAGGATGTCTCAGGCGAAACGGGCCGGACCACCTCTCGCGCGGCATCTCCGAGGTCAGAGTTTCGAGGATGTCTCAGGCGAAACGGGCAGGACCACCTCGCGCAAGGCATCTCAGAGCTCAGAGTTTCGAGGATGTCTCAGGCGAAACGGCCCGGACCACCTCTCGCACGGCACCTCGGGGCTCAGAGTTTCGAGGATGTCTCAAGCGAAACGGCCCGGACCACCTCTCGCGCGGCGTCCCGGAGCGCAACTTTTCGAGGATGTCTCAGGCGAAACGGCCAATCCCGGCCAATTCAGAAACGAGAGTTGTGAGGATGTCTCAAGCGAAACGGCCCGGACCATCAAATTTTTGTGAGACTGTCTCTGCTCCCCTTGCCTTCGGCCAGAGTTAGCTTTAATCACAAAAGCACTCCGTTCAGCAAGCTGTTTGGGGAAAAATCGTGACGTCGGATGTCTGGGGAGGGCGGAAGGCAGTGCGCGCATGACGGATGCTGAGGCGGCAGAAACGACGACGGCGGGGACGGGGAGGCGGAGGCAGAGGCGCAGCAGCGGGAGGCGGGAGGCGGGAGGAGGGAGGAGGGAAGAGGAGCCAGGCGGGAAGTGGGAAGAGGGAGGCGGGAGAAGGAATGAGAGAGGTTGTGATTGGAGCCTCTGTGCTACGAAGCGTCTCAGGCAGAACGGGCCAGACCATCTCGCGCGCAACATCTTCGAGCCTCGCATTGCGAGGATGGCTCAATCGAAACGGGCTGGACCACCTCGCGAGCGACATCTTGGAGCTCAGTATTGGAAGGATGTCGCAAACGAAACGGGCCGGACAATCTCTCGCACACGTTCTGACAAGTCCATGTCGCATTCGCTTCCCGTTAGGTCCTCTCCTGCAACTCCCTTCCTTCTCTCTCATCCCCCTCCCCCTCCTCCTGCCTGCTCCCTCATGCACATCATCCGCCTCTTCCTTCTCCCTTCCATCTCCTTCTCCTCCTCCTCTTCCTCCTCCTCTTCCTCCTCCACCTCCTCTTCATCCCGAACGGCATCTCGGAGCCTAGAGTTGCGAGGATGTCTCCAGCGTAACGGGTTGGACCACCTCGCGCGCGGCATCTCGGACCCCAGAGTTGCGACGATTTCTCAGGCGAAACGTGCTGCGAGGAAGTCTCAGGCGAAACGGGCCGGACCACCTCGAGCGCGGCGTCTCAGAGCTCCGAGTTGCGGGGGCCTCCTGGTGCCTCCTGGGGCCTCCTGGGGACCTCCTGGGGCTTCCTCCTGGGCCTCCTGTGGCCTCCTGAACTCCACCTGGGGTTTCCTGAAGCCTCTTGGGGCTCCCAGGGGGGATATCTAACCTGTGGCCGCTTGGGCCCCTCAAAATGGAGGGGGGGGCACAAGAGCAGGAAAAATCAACGAATCGACACCGGATGTGTATTAACTTGACACGTTCTGATAGGGGGCCTCCTGGGGCCTCCTGGGAGCCTCCTGGGAATCTCCTGGGGACCCCTGGGGCCTGTCCTGGGCGTCCTGCGGCCTCCTGGAGCTCTCTGGGGCCTCCTGGGGCTCCCAGGGTCCCAGGGAGGATATGTAACATGTGGTCTTCTGGGCCCCCAGGCTGGACCACCTCTTGCGCGGCATCTGGGAGCTCAGAGTTGCGAGAATGTCTTGTGCGAAACAGGCCGGAACACCTCGCGCACGGCATCTCAGAGCTCAGAGTTGCGAGGATGTCTCAGGCGAAACGGGCAGGACCACCTCGCGCAAGGCATCTCAGAGCTCAGAAGTTTCGAGGATGTCTCAGGCGAAACGGCCCGGACCACCTCTCGCACGGCACCTCGGGGCTCAGAGTTGCGAGGATGTCTCAGGCGAAACGGGCCAGACCACCTCTCGCGCGGCATCTCCGATGTCAGAGTTTCGAGGATGTCTCAGGCGAAACGGGCTGGACCACCTCGCGCAAGGCATCTCAGAGCTCAGAGTTTCGAGGATGTCTCAGGCGAAACGGCCCGGACCACCTCTCGCACGGCACCTCGGGGCTCAGAGTTTCGAGGATGTCTTAAGCGAAACGGCCCGGACCACCTCTCGCGCGGCGTCCCAGAGCGCAATTTTGCGAGGATGTCTCAGGCGAAACGGTCAATCCCGGCCAACTCAGAAACGAGAGTTGTGAGGATGTCTCAAGCGAAACGGCCCGGACCATCAACTTTTTACCTAACAGCGAAGACTGATAGGTTTCTAGTAGTGTCAAAAGAGCATCATGACTCCCGAGGGGGGTCTGGGCGGGATCCGGACAAAACCGGACAAAACCGGCAGCCTCAGGAATTTTGAGGAATCCGGAGGAATTCTTAGGAATCCTTAGGAATCCATTCCCAGAACACAATTCCCAGGCCACATTTTGAATGCACGGAACCAATTGTAGGCCACTTCGTGTTCTTCGTGTTCCCAGAACACCATTTCCAGGCCACATTTTGAATGCCCGGAGCCAGCTGTAGGCCACTTCGTGTTCTTCGTGTTCCCAGAACACCATTTCCAGGCCACATTTTGAATGCCCAGAGCCAGCTGTAGGCCCTTTCGTTTTCTTCGTGTTCCCAGAACACCATTCCCAGGCCACATTTTGAATGCCCGGAGCCAACTGTAGGCCCTTTCGTGTTCTTCGTGTTCCCAGAACACCATTATTGTACAATATTTTGATTGCCCAGAGCCAGTTGTGGGCCTCTTCGTGATCTTCGTGTTCCCAGAACACCAGTCCTGTGCCATATTTTGAATGCCCGAGCTGAGGCAGGCTGAGGCCGAGGCAGGCTGAGGCCGAGGCAGGCTGAGGCTGAGGCTGAGGCACGCCGAGGCAGGCTGAGGCTGAGGCTGAGGCAGGCTGAGGCTGAGGCTGAGGCAGGCTGGCTGAGGCAGGCTGAGGCTGAGGCTGAGGCTGAGGCTGAGGCTGAGGAGGCTGAGGCTGAGGCTGAGGCAGGCAGAGGCTGAGGCTGAGGCTGAAGGCAGGCTGAGGCTGAGGCTGAGGCAGGCTGAGGCTGAGGCTGAGGCTGAGGCCGAGGCTGAGGGCTGAGGCTGAGGCTGAGGCTGAGGCTGAGGCTGAGGCAGGCTGAGGCTGAGGCTGAGGCAGGCTGAGGCTGAGGCTGAGGCTGAGGCAAGCGGCGGCCAGGCAGGCTGAGGCTGAGGCTGCAGGCTGGCAGGCTGAGGCTGAGGCTGAGGCTGCAGGCTGAGGCTGAGGCAGGCTGAGGCTGAGGCCGAGGCAGGCTGAGGCTGAGGCAGGCTGAGGCTGAGGCTGAGGCGCAGGCTGAGGCTGAGGCTGAGGCTGAGGCTGAGGCTGCTGAGGCTGAAGGCTGAGGCTGAGGCTGAGGCTGAGGCTGAGGCTGAGAGGCTGAGGCAGGCTGAGGCTGAGGCTGAGGCAGGCTGAGGCTGAGCTGAAGCTGAGGCAGGCTGAGGCAGGCTGGGCAAGGCGGCTGAGGCAGGCTGAGGCTGAGGCTGATGCAGGCTGAGGCTGAGGAGGCTGATGCTGAGGCTGAAGGCTGAGGCTGAGGCTGAGGCAGGCTGAGGCTGAGGCTGAGGCAGGCTGAGGCTGAGGCTGAGGCTGAGGCAGGCTGAGGCTGAGGCAGGCTGAGGCTGAGGCTGAGGCTGATGCAGGCTGAGGCTGAGGCAGGCTGAGGCTGAGGCCGAGGCTGAGGCAGACTGAGGCTGAGGCTGAGGCAGGCTGAGGCTGAGGCTGAGGCAGGCTGAGGCTGAGGCTGAGGCAGGCTGAGGCTGAGGCAGGCTGAGGCTGAGGCTGAGGCTGATGAGGCTGAGGCTGAGTCTGAGGCTGAGGCTGACAGGCTGAGGCTGAGGCTGAGGCAGGCTGAGGCTGAGGCAGGCTGAGGCTGATGCCGAGGCAGGCGAATCCTTCGGAATCCTTAGGATTTCATAGGAATCTCTAGGAATCAGGATTCCTAAGGATTCCCACGGTTTCCGAAGGATTCCTATGGATTCCTCAGGATGCCTAAGGATGCCTTAGGAATCCCTAGGAATCCTTAGGATTGCATTGGATCCTAAGGCCGTTGCCACTGCGACTGTCATTGCGAATGCGACTGCGACTGCGAGAACAGCAGAATTCTACAACTGGATTCTCACCTGAATCTTAAGGGGAATGCTTCCAGATATGCTTATACACATCGCTGTTAGGTTGCTTTGCAGGGATAATTGTGAGGATGTATTTGCTTCCCTTTCCTTCGGCCAGAGTTAGCTTCTATCACAACAGCACCCCTTTCAGCAAGCTGTTTGGGGAATGATATATTGCGGTCTGTTGTTTCTCCAGCGGGTTTCCTGTGGAGCGTTTTGTGGACGTCTGTTGGAGTTACATAGCAGACCCTCGCCACTCACTACAAGCACCGTTCGTCACAGTTCGAGCCAGAAAGTGTTGGCATACATGTGCACAGAGACGATCACAAGACTGATTGGTGCTTGCACGAGTTAAAAACCGGCGCCATGGATAAACTTAAACGCCAAGATCAAGGAGGAGCAGACAATACATCCGAATCTTTTGCATATGGCTATACAGAAGAGGTATGTGCCAGCATCCAGTTTTACATAGACGTGCATGTCAAGAATGTTAATAAGGACGGGATGGCACACTGCAGCAATCGCTGCAGGTAGTTGTGTGTGTGCGCCTCCCAGAACCATTCCTAGAGCCACTTGGTGGGGCCTGTTGTTGGAACATTTGTGGGGCCTCCTGGGTTTTATGTCTCATCCTGGGGGGCGCTGTGTCTGGGGTTTCTTTGGGCCATATTGTTTCATTATTGAGACGTCCACCGGCCGTCTTGGAGCAGTCTTTGGTCCGCGGGGAGCGCCAGAGAGCAAGCCGCGGGTGCGCTATTAAGCGCGGGTGATCGAAAGGGTGGGGAGACCGCCTCAAGATAATTGCACAAAGTCTCCCAGACAGATAGAAGGCATTATGTTACGCCCCAGCGTGCCAGAGCACGGTGGTGGATTCCTTGCTGCTTTCAGCCGTGTACGTCTACATCACGGTGACACTTGGATACCCTTTGTTCAGCGCCGCGTGGGGTCACATAGGCGACATTGCTACATTCGACGATTATCCAGACGAGTGGTGGTGGGTGGCCATCAGTTACATCGCGGCGCATCTCGATGCCCATCTCTATGTCTTCATGGGCGCTTGCTTGGCCACGGCACACCGACTCTGCACTGGCCGCCGCCTTTTCGTGCGCTATTCTGGGAAGACGTTGGTCATAGTCGATTGCACGGTCAATTACAAGCTGCTCCGCGCCTATGTGTCCAAGTTGCGTGCGCTTGCATTCCGGTTCACCACGTTTGGCGTTCTGGGCCAGAACGGCGAGGATCACTTCGTGCATGAGATGACCCACCTGACCACGTCCGATGTGATCATTCTCGCTGGCCGCGCCGACGGTCGCCTCGGGACGCTTGCCTCCATGGAGGCCGCCAGCATCATGTCCCTGCAGCAGGCGCGCTTCATCGCTGCGAACCCGAACACGGGCGTTGAGATCGTGTCCGTCGGGCACAACCCTTGGATGAAGCCCGGCCTCTTCCAGAAGTCTGTCACGCTGTCCTCTGAGCACAGGCCAGCGTTCTATTCTCAGAAGCTGCTGCGCAGTGAGTTTGGTGGGCACGCTCCTGCGGACGTGATGCATGGGGTTGCCATGCTCGTCGAGGGGGACTTGAGCGGTGCCAGCACGCGAGGCAACGAGGCTCCGTTCCAGGATGTGCGGATTGAAGACATCAAGCAAAAGATGAGGTCCCAAACGATAGATTTCGATGATGCCCAAGTTGTCATAAGCGAATTCGTCAAAGAGTACTCGACAGTTTTGGATATCGAGCCTGAGGACTTCGACATCACGCAGGTTCTCGACGACGACGTTGCAGTGCATCTGACAAGCTCGCAGGTCCGGAAGGGCAGCAGAACCATCCGCGGACACGCTCCACAAGCGGCATCTGCAATAGCGACTAACATGTGCGACACGGTGGTGAAGAAGTTGAGCCCCGTCAAGTTCTTCGCCCGGCAGGAATCCACTTTGTCTCAGCATCCTCCTCAGAATGAGCAGCCGCAGCGCGAGGATTCGAGGTCTTCGGGAATTTTTAGCAATGGGAGTGAGATGGCTACACTATGCCAGGGTCCGGAGACGTTCAGTACCAGAAGTCCCAGTTCTAAGAGGAAGACCGGCGTCTTCAAGTTCACCGCCTCGAACATCATGGTGGTGCTCCGCGGTCGCAATATGGAGAAGATCATCGCGCAGATGCAGCTGGACCAGCAGAAGAGGTTTGCGCTGGCCAGGCACAACATGGGCGACGTCGCAGGAAATGCCTGGAGCGTACTGAAGGCATGCTACGAGGAGTGGGCTGACTTCGTGGCGAAGAGGGGTCAGGAGCGTGCCGACAGGCAGACGGAGAACTTGGCCTCCTGCATGGCCGAGGTGAACGCGACACAGCCCCTCGCGCTGCCGAAGCAGGCGGCGTGGCGGACGCAGGAGGAGTTCCGGCAGCGGAAACGCCAGTGGATGATGCACTACAGCGCGTTGCCGTTCTCGATGCCTTACTCGACCCACCGGTGCTTCGACTTGTGGAGGGAGAACGTGGAGACCATGAAGGCCCAGACGGCCATGAGCGAAGCCCCAACCTCCAAGGTGGGCAGCATGCGGGGCATGCAGAGCCTCGGCTCGCGCATGTTCGGCCAGGCCAGTTCGATAAAGCACAGCACGAGCAAGACCTACAGCCCGACGAAAAAGCACAGCCCGAGCAAGACCTACAGCCCGACGAGAAAGCACAGCCCGAGCAAGACCTACAGTCCGACAAAGAACAACGGTAACAGGCTGACCTGGGACAGCGCCACCAGGAAGACTTCGATGCTAGACCCCGCAGGCACCCAGGACGCCGTGATCGGCGAGCAGAGCGGGTCCAAGGCCCGCGTCAAGAAGGGCGCTGGCGGCAAGCACATGATCGCCGAGCTCGGCTACATGGAGGGCATCTACGAGACGCGCGTCGCCGCCGCGGAGAGGCTGCTCGCCTTCTACGTCCTCTTCCACGCGGCCGTGCGCCCCGTCTCGCGCCTCTGGGGCCTCAGCTTCGACATGGACCGCAGCGAGTCCAGGCTCCGCGTCGCCTCGACGCCCGCGCCCGTGCCCTTCGTCGAGAGCATGGACGCCGACGGCCTGGGCCACGACGGGGCGGCTCCCTCGGCCGACCCCTCGGCTGCCCAGCGGGCCTCGGACGACGCGGGCGGGTCCGAAGACGCCCGGCGGGCCTCGGTCGAGACCTCGTACGACGCGGGCGCGTCCAAGCCAGATTGGACCGAGAGCTCGGACTCCAGCACAGTGGGCATCTGACGAGCAGCTCGGCTGGGGCCACGGTGGGGGTCCCCTCACCGTCGGACTTTCGGGCCATCGTTCCTTGGCGGCCTCGTTCGGAGTCGGCCTTTTCTGGCAGCCTGCTGATATAACTACACTTCAAGAGTTTCCAGAGCTTAGTGTCTCGATGATTGGGCCATGATTCACAGAAGGAAAAACATAGAAGAATGGTAACATGCGACAGTATAGAAGGAAAACTTACGCGACGGATGCAGCAATACAAGGTCGCTGATTGGACCATGGCTTACAAAAGGAAACATGGCATGGGCACAGAGAGTCATCAACATGGAAGCTTCAGAATGGCCGACACAGGTGGTAAATTGGACTCCACATCTTGATCTGGTCTCGTCAGCCCGCCGACGCCCAGGGCGTCCAAAAAACTATGTGTGCAGACAGCTATTGGAACTATGTGTGGACAGACGATACCAAACAATGTGTGCAGACAGCTATTGGAAACAACAGATGGGTACAAGTGGCAAAATCACCAACCTGGGGTGGGCGTAGGCCCCCCCCCTCCAGCCGCTCCCTCGCGGAGCCATGCAGCCGGAATGGAGTTCCAAATCGCTCGCTCTAGAGGTGGGGGGGGACTCCAGATTTGATGAACATCTTGAACTTGGGATAAGTTCTATTCGTTCAGCGAAAGCTATATGAACTAATGACAATAAATGTGGATATAGTTTACTGCTCGTGTGAATTGAGCCAAAGTGCGAACGACAGTACACACACTTTAAACGGAGAAGGTTAAAGGCGAGGTATAAATCGAGCATGTACCGCTGCCGTGCCTGGCTCAAGCCGGGCCCGGCCAGATATGTGACTGTGCCTCACTGAGGCGCACTACTTGCATCCGAGATCGGAAAACATCCTTTTCCATTGACGATGCCCATCCTACTCTTTACTCCAGATCCCATGCTTCGTCTCGCTCTCTTGCTCATGCGCTATGAGCCTAAGCCTGGGATATGGAAGCGCCTAAGGCGGACTGTATACCTAAGCTTACCAGCTTGTTTTCGACTTGGTAGCGGAGCTGGCTACACTCTCGTGTGGCTGGCTCTCGCTCTGATTCCAGTAATCCACGGCACAACTTGGTGGACTACTACCACGGTGGAATACCATGTTGCGCCGGCTCTGCGAGGAGCGGAGCCAGTCCGCGATCGAGCTAGCGGGGCAACCCGCGAACTCGAGACGCTCTCTCCTACTTCACTGCGCTACTTCACTCCCGACTTCCACCAGATGCCAATCGGCAACTCGATCGAGAACGTGGTCACCCTGCGGGGCTACCCGCAGCGGGGCCACCTGCATTCCGTGCCGGTCAGGCGCCTCACGGCTACCACGCCAGAGCCTGACAAACCACAGCCCAAACCAATCACCGAAGCCGAAATGCACATGCATTGGATCAAAATAACGATCTTCGGCATTCTGTGGGTAATAATGGGATGTGCTGTGGGATACATGCGGCAGGGGATGGACGACACGCGTACTACTGGCCCTTCATGGGACCCTGCCGGTACTACGCCTTTTCGCGAATATGTTCGCGAAGTACATGCATGGTTAAACGTAACGAGTGGCAATATGACACCACCACAACAAGCTGCAGCACTACAACGAGGCCTTCAAGGTCTGGCTCGTCGTATCGCCATGCAGGTCCCCTCCCAGATCATCAATTATGGTGTAACTGTCAATGGACAGCCAACGGATGCAGTAACCTACATACTGTACTTACTGAGCACCAAATTTGAAAATCTGGAAGATGAGCGCCAGCTCAACTCTGGCACGGCCCTTATCGACTTCCGCGTCGAAAGGGGCGAGCGAATCGACTCAGTATTAGCTCGATTCGAGATGGCCCGTGACGAGGCTAACTCTGTTGGCTTTGTCATCCCCAACTTTCAGATCCTAACGCTGATTCTCTTCAGAGCGTTAGGCGTTGGCGCGTCACGAGCCCAACACCTGCTTGAGCCCTTCAATCATCAGATGCCCCGAACACAAGCAGACTATGACAGGCTGTTGACCAGGATGAGGAACTACGGACATGTTGCCGAGCGCTCTCCTGGTAACATAGCGGGTATCTTCACAGGGCACCACTCACATGCAGGTGTTTACGCCACGACTGCGGGGTCACCCGCTGGTCCTGGCGAGCCAAATCCCTGGGCTGACCCAGCCGATATGCCCAACGAGGCCACTGCCCTTCTAGGGCAGACCGGCCAGGTATCGGCAGAGGCAGCTGAGGCAAACGCCTGGTCGAACTACTCGCCAGGCGCCGCCTACACTGCAAGCCCGCCCTCGGGCACAACCCTCTGGGGCCAAGCGGAGTCATCCGCTCAATGGTCTCAGCCACCCTCACCGTTTGAATCTGGCACTGACACAGATACTTCATCTGACGATGAGCACAATGGAATAGTCTCTGCTGGTAATGACTATCCAGCGGACGACACTCACCTTTCTGAACAGCAAAGGGCGGAAGCCGCCTTTATGGCTTATCGCAAATCAAAACGCCGTTGGAGGCGCTTTATGAAGAAACCAGTCAGAAAGGTGAGACGTGCAGTACGCCGACATTTCAAACAATTTGGAAAGGGTCGTGGTAAAGGGGGTCGCAGACGCCGTATGCATGGAAGGGGTATTACTGCTTTCCTCACGTCCTTAACTGACATAGTTTTTGAAGAAGTTCTTATCGGAGGCAAAGGTCGGGGTCACAGGCGGACCTCCGGCAAGGGAAAGGGGCGGAGGGGCAACCCTAGGGACGCTTCTGGTAATACTATGAAGTGTCATACATGCGGTAGCACAGAGCATTTGCGCGATCAATGCCCGAAGGGGAAAGGAAAGGGATCCGTACATTTGGCTCAAAACTCTTTTATGGATGACATAGATTACATTGATTACGAGTTTTACGTCAATCCAGAAGCGGCTCCCGCTGCGGGCTCCTCCACGTATTACGTGATGGCCCGCTATGCTGAAGCAACTGTGGCCCTGGAAGACTACGCAGTGACCCTCTTCGACGAGTTCCACGGCTGGGACGAGGTCGATGAGATTGCGTACAATGCTTGGTTCGGTCTTCCAGCGGGGCCACCCGCCGGTGACGAGGTCTCCGAAGCCGAGACTGTCCCGGCAACAGAGGAAGAACTCACCGCCGCGCTGGCCCCACAAGTGATTGGCATGCCGTTGCTGCCAAATCCGTCGTGGGCTGGCTCGGAGATGGGAGACGCCGATGACGAAATGCGGGGCCATCCCGCGTATTCCGACTCCGAAGAATCCGAAGAAGATTATAACGACATGCTCCAAGAGCAGGTTTCAGAAGCAATCCGACTCTTGAGTGCGCCAGCACAGCAGCAGATGACGATGAACGAACTGCTGTCGCACCCAGGAGTTGCCCGTCTACGTCCATACTTGGATTCGAACATGTCAGCATCTCAGATGCTTAAGCACTCCAAGCTCTAGCGGGGTCACCCGCCGAAGAGATGCTAGACACAACAGCGGGGCCACCCGCTTGGTCTATGGATGTATTCATGCAAGGTTGCGATCAAATGAACATTAACGACCTCTCGATGGAGCAGTTAAATGACATCGGATACTTCAGAAGCCCGTATCAAAACGTGTTCATGGTCCAGGACAGCTCAGAGGACTCGGAGGACATGCGGTACGCCAAGAGGGACAGGCGACCGTCGCCTCCCCGAGACTCAGAGCATGACGATCAAAGGCCAGTGACACGTGGTAGTGCGTCAGCGGGGCCAGCCCGCGGAAGGAGCCGCTCAGCTCCTAGACGCCCTACGCATGATGAATCGGGCTATCCATACAGCACTGAGCACTCCGTTGGAGTATCTGCTCAGCAGGTGCCGGATTGGTACATCCAATGGTACCCCGGTTACTCTATGGATACTCTTCGGCACTGGTATTCTAAGGAATACTGTGCCAAAAGGGACGAGACTGGCGCGATAATCCGTACCAAGGGCGGCAAGACCAAGACGCCAGAGGCCTGGGACAAAAGGGCGAAGAAGCAGGAGATCATCACTGACCGCAAAACGTACAGAAAGCAAGTATGTCAGTGTGAGCCCTTTAAAGGCCACATGCGCAGGTGTCCGATGGACCGCCCCTCCAGGAGCCCTCACCATGGAGAGACCCCGTGGAATTGGTCTCATGGAGACGACGCGGGTAACGTCCATGATCCGAACAAAGAGGTTCCTGGAGGAGGAAAGCGCATCACAGAGGCCGATCGCGTCCCTATGACCGAAGAGGTGGCCAACACCGTCAAGGAAAATTGGGCAAAGCTTCCCAATGACCACCGCCTCAAGGAATGGAACCGCCGATTCCATAAGGAAGCGGGGTCACCCGCAGAATCCAGTAAGGAAGCGGGGTCACCCGCAGAATCCAGTAAGGAAGCGGGGTCACCCGCAGAATCCAGTAAGGAAGCGGGGTCACCCGCAGAATCCAGCAAGGAAGCGGGGTCACCCGCAGAAGCAGCACCAGCCGCTGGATCTGCGGACGAGTGGATAGACGTTGCCTCTGCTGCCGGGTCCGCCGCCGGCACTGACCGCACTGAGCTAAATGAAGAGTGGGCGGCGGAAGACGGTTCAGAGAATCCATTCCCTGACGGAAGCGCCTGCTGGTACTTCAGCTCTTCGGCGCAGAAGTGGCTCATCACGAGGGTACTCTACCGCCATGAGAATGGCAAATACAAGCTGGCCATAAAGGGTGTTGCCGACATCGACCAGATGAGGCAGGTTACCCATGATCATGGCCAGCCAGAAGGCCCTCCGAGAGACCCTCCTGGTCCACGACCAGGCAAGAGCAGCAGACCACCTCCAAGACCTAGAGCCGACTCCTCGTCGTCACCGACTCCGGCGAAAAGGCCCTCGCCCAAGAGCCCCGAAGACACGCAGGGACGGGCGAAGGTCAGAGCGATCGCCAAGATGGACGACCCTGAGCCGGCAGATCCTCCCGGTCTATCCGTGACAGAGAGGAAGAAGGTCTTTGCTGGACCATCGACTCCGATGCCTCCAGTGACCCAAGGCGATGTCAAGGACGAAGCTCGCGACAAGCCTAAGGCAGCGTTCCGAGGTGACTGGACTCCAACACTGCATCAGCCACGCCTTGCACCACGACCAGGTTCGGCACGAATGAAAGCGCAGCCGAAGCCCGAAGCTGGGATGAGGTCGGTGCGGGCAGAAGCGGCCGCCAAGGCTAAGGAGGACAAGGGCTCTGCGGGGCCACCCGCTAAAGCGGCGCCAGCCGTAACAGCGGGGACACCCGCAGAAGGCACTCTCTCCAGAGAAGAACGCTTCAGAGTCCTCAAAGAGTTTGGCGACCAACAGAAACTGACTGATGATGCAGCTGCTGACAAAGGTCGCCAGAACCCTGGCGCGGAGTCATCTGCAGGAGCTGCCTCGTCAGCCGCAGGTTCTGCAGGGCCACCCATTAAAGCGGCGCCAGCTGCATTAGCGGGGCCACCCGTCAAGGCGCCGCCGGCTGCATTAGCGGGGTCACCCGCAAGCGGGCAGCCAATAATGTCTGTTCTGAGGGTCATTCCTTTGGAATGCAAGTTGTATTGGCAAGGCATTGTAGACAAAGGCCCGAGGCAGCCCATCAACCCACGAGTCACTCCAGACGACACGGACCGATATGAAGTCATTAATTGTCCGGTTCGTCGTAATTTCAAGTGTCACAACGACTGGGAGCGCGAACAACAGAAAGTGGGAAACATGCTGCGAGACAGGCCGCCACTACGTGTTGCGCAGCATAGAGAATCGCTCCTGA